TTAATTTTTTTTTAAATATTTGTGAAGATTTACCTTTGTATTGTTTAGCAAATTCTACTTACACATTTTAGTCAAAATATTTTCTAGATCAATTTTTATTTTTTACTTTTTTTGGGTTCTTGGGTTTAATAAGATTTTTTTTATCAAAAATAAATAATACATGAAATAGTAATTATTTGAAAAATTGTAGATAGTGGAAGCTCAACTCGCAGGTGGCTGGACCACAGTATGGGACGACGAACAGAAAACACCCTATATGTACAAAGGAACCCAATGGGTCGGTTACGACAACCCTAAATCGATCGCAATTAAGGTACCATGCCCCTCTTTTGGTACCAATGTAAAAACAACACCATTTTTCCATAGGTACAATATGCCAAATCCATGAACCTAGCCGGTGTCATGATTTGGTCCATCGAAACCGACGATTTTAACGGCCTCAGTGGTACCAAGTACCAAATTTTGAACGCCATTAACGCCGCTTTGAAATCCGATGAAATTCCCTCTGAACCTGAACCAATCCCGACTCAGGCCCCTGAACATGAACCAACTTCTGAACAATCGACTCATGCTCCTGAGAAACCTGAGCCGACTCAAAGTACCAAACTCCCCGAACTCGGAAATGGGATTTGCACCAAGGAAGGGATTGTGAGGGATTCAAATGACTGTTCCATTTACTACCATTGTGTTTCTAATCGTGATGGGTTGGTTGACATCCAGATGAAATGCAGCCATGGGTTGGTCTACGACCTTGAACTTAATATTTGTAATTATCCTGAAATTGTTCAGTGTTGAGTTGGGAAATAAAAATTTATGAAGCAACTGAATTTTTTTTTCAGGATTAATTAATATGAGACGGGTTGTGTGTTAGTTTAGTTTCATGTCTGAAACTTGTGAGATTTCAGTCAAGTTCGTAAATTAATAAACTTAAACGTAAACTCCTCAAACTTTCTAAACTTAACACAAACACAAAGGAAAATTATTTATTTATTTCAATTCACATGAAAATTATAGAAAAAAAATCAATAGAATCTAGAATAATAATAAAGATAATTTATTAGTGCATAAGTTAATTAACATAAATGGTAAAAAAAGATAATAATAAAAAAAATTTAGAAAAAAAAACAAATTAGTGAATAAAGTGAAGAACTTGTAAAAGGATTTAAAGTAGGTACAGAAAAAGATCTAGAATATAACGTAGAAAGGATCTTGAAATGTTAGAAAATAAATAAACTCTAAATAATGTAGAGAATCCAGTAAAATTTGGAGAAAATTAAGCAAAAAATTGAAACAGAATATACAAAAAAATTTAAAAAAATTATTATATGAATTAAAAAAGTAACAATTTTGTATTTAGAAAAAATAGAATCTAGAAAAAAATTATGAAAAAAATTTGGAGAATAATCTGAAAAGTAAGCAGAAAATATAAAAATATAGTTTAAGCGGGAATCTAAAAAATAAAATAGAAAATAATCTAAACAAAATCGAAAAAAATCTCGTAAATTATTAGGGTGAAAAACCTCCATCTAAAAAAATACAAAATAAATTGTAAAAAATGTAAAAATTTTGTAGTATCTTCAGAGAAGTGCAAAGAAATCTAAAACGAAATGTAAAAAAAAATTCTGACAAAATTTTGGAGAACATTCTAGAAAAGAATAAAAAGATATTAGACAAAATATAGTTTTAGTCTCAAAAAAAAATAAAGAAAAATCTAGAGCAAAGTTTAAAAAAGAAATAAATTGAAAGAAGCGTCTAAAAAAGAATCTTGAAAAGAGTTAAAAAAAAAAGGAGGATTCAGAACCGAATCTAGAGAAAATCCTAGAAAAAACAAGATTGAGAATAAAGCTTAAAACTTGGAAAAAGATCTAGAATACACAGAAAGATCTAAAAATAATCTAGAATTTAATCTAGAAAAGATTTTTGAAAATGTTAGATTATCTAAAAAATAATAAAAAACTATAAATCATAATCTGGAGTAAAATATATAGAATAGAGAAAGCAAATAAAAAAGAAAAATTTATTACAATGACAAATCCGAAAGAAAAAAGGTTTAGAAAAAATAAAACCTACAAAAAATAAAAAACAAACTTGAAAAAAGTGTACCTAGAGAAAAGTACAAAGAGATTTAAACAGAATCTAGAAGAAATTTATGAAAAATATTTGGAAAATAATCTGAAAAGTAAGTAGAAATTATAAAAATATAGTTTAGGCGAGAATCTAAAAAATAAACTAAAAAATATAAAAAAGTATTAGAGAAGCTAGAACAGACTAACAAATCTAGAGAATAATCTAAAAAAAAATTGTTAGGGTAAAAAACCCCCCAAAAAAATTAGACAGTATTTAGAAAAAAACTACAAAAAAAAAATAGAAAATAAACTGGACAAAATGTAAAAATTTAGCAGTATTTATAGAAAAGTGCAGACATCAAGGACAAAATTACCAAAATTACAAAATTTTAGAGAACATTCTAGAAAAGAATGAAAAAATATTAGAATTATCTAAAAAATAATTTTAAAAAAATATCAAAAAAAAAAGGAACAATCTAAAACAAAACAAAGTTTAAAGGAAAAATAAATCTAAAGAAGAGTAAAAAAAAACAAAAAAAAAAGTCGAAAACTTGGAAAAAGATCTAGAATACACAAAAAGAATTTAATCTAGAAAGAATTTTGAAAATGTTAGAAGATTACCTAAAAAAATAATGAAAAACTATAAATCATAATCTGGAGTAAGAAAGTAAAAAAGGAAAATTTATTACAATGACAAATCCGAGGAAAAAAAGGTTTAGAACAAAAAATAGAAAATAGCTTGAAAAAAGTGTAAAAATTTGAACTTAATATTTGCAATTATCCTAAAGTTCAGTTTTAAGTGGAAAAATAAAAATTTTTGAAGCAACTGAATTTTTTTTCAGTATTAATCAATACGAGACTGGTTGTGTTAGTTTAGTTTCATGTCTGAACTTGCGAGATTTCACTCAACTTCGTAAATTAATAAACTTAAACGCAAACTCCTCAAACTTTCTAAACTTAATACAAACACAAAAATTATTTATTTATTTCAATTCATATAAAAATTATAGAAAAAATCAATAAAATCTAGAATAATAATAAAAATAATTTATTAGTGCTTAAAAATGCATATTTTCTTGCATCAGT